TTCTACACTTCTTAATGAATGGGGAGGACAGCCCCTTATGAGTTATGGACGTTTGCTCATTGGATGGAGGACTACACCAGGCAGGTCAAGGATGTGTGTGTGGGTTGTGCTTGAGAGGGCTTTGGCCAGGCTCTGTCTCTTTTTGACAATTTTTTTTCCTACCTGGGATCCAGCTACAGGAAAATGCTCCTTCACTTGTGTAGACAAAAATCCTTGCACCAGTTCTGATTGTAGTTAATTTGTTAGTTAATAATATTAAAATGAAAAAATAAACAAAAAAAATTTATTTCAGAGATGTGTTCTAAATTCCCTCAGTAATAGTCAGGTGACATAACAACCTTTTATTTATTTATGATTCTCTTGAGGTTCATTTTACATTGTTTTTTAATCGAAAATCGAGGGGTATACTGACAAAAAGGGGCCCACACCAAAAATATTAAAACCAATATTTTCATGGATAAGGAAGCCTAACAAGGTAACTAAGAGATGAGAAACAAATTGGATGATCATTGTTTTTAGTGTATTTTACAGCTGATTTAAGACACGGATCCAGGGGCGGACTGACCATTTGGAAACTCGGGCACTGCCTGAGGGCCCAGGGTCAGTAGGGGGCCCCATGAGATGCCCCTGGTACACTTTTTTTTTTTCATAGGCTTTTTTGAGTTTGGGCAAGGACACAGGGGCCCCATGATCCCCTATTGCCCGGGGGCCCCATGAGTTGTCAGTCTGCCCCTGCACGGGTCAAAAAACCGACCTGTTAACATAAGAGATGGTAACAGGAAACTAACACAAGAGGAAGGATATACTGCTGTAGTTGACATATAGGAACAGGAGTCCAGTGCTCTGGCTATTTATCAATGTTTTCACCCAAGATTTACAAAACTCTCAACCAGTATTCATACATTTTTACATATGGTCTTGTTATGAAAAATGTGTGAAATCTTAGGTTAAAAACATTAATAAATAGAGCTGTTAAAACCATATTCTTACCTTTAAAGTGATACTAATATAAAAAAGGTGTGTCCAGAATATAATGAGAATGAAGTTTCTACGCTTCAGAAGGATTCTGTGTAGGAAGAAACTGGTCAAGTTCACTTGGGGTGGGGTGCCAGGGTATAGGTTAGAACATTGATCCATTGCATTCCAGCCCTCTCATTCTTTTTTGTGATACCCTGTTCCAATGCCTTGTTGAAAAATTGCTGAAATGGTAAGGAAAGCTTGTGAAAAAGCGGAGCTATTATCTGCACAAGTGTGCTGATATTACAAGGCCTGCAAGAAAGGATGAGATGTAGAAGACAAACAAAAAAATTAGGATGCTCCTCTTTGTCAAAAAAGGGAACGGAACGTGGATGCAGTAAGGTCTGTTCTCAACCGTGACCGATAGAGGAAATGGGAATTACCAAGTCAATTGTTCATGAAATCATGACTCAGGATTTGAACATGAAAAAAAGTGTGCAAAACTTGTTCCAAGGAACTTGTCACTGATCAGTAGACCAAGAAGATTCCAAGACCTGTTGGCCCGTTTGGAAGGAAAGCTTGATTTTTTTTGAGTTGAGTGATTATAAGCTATGAATCCTGGCTGTCAAAGAGTTTTTGGCTGAGAAGCACACCAGCGTGCTTCCCCATCCACCCTACAGCCTCAACTTTGCTCCTTGAGATTTTTTTTTTATGTTCCCAAAGGGCTTTTAGCACACCATTTTGTTAGTGTGGATAACGTCCAAAGAGCCACTATGCAGGCTCTGAACGCCATTCCACTTGAAGACTTCCAGCAATGCTATGATGAATGGAAAAATTAGTGGGAGCATTGTGTACACTCACAAGGTGCATACTTTGAAGGAGACAATGTTCAATTATAAACTTTCAATAAAATAATTTTTAAAACCATTCTCATTACTTTCTGGACACATGTTTAATTGCCATTGTCTCTTCTATTTATGTATAAAACCCTAATGCTACTGCATTTAATTTCATATAAAAAAAATAATCTAAGTACCTTATTTAATTATCGCTTTTCAGCAGCTGCTCTTGAGGCCCATACACACGATAAGAAAATTGCATGAAAATTATAGTACGAGGAACGATTATCTGTATATTAGCATAGTGCTTTCCATAGCCACTTCTGACTGTTTAGATGTAAAAACATGAAGGTGCAATCTAGAAAATTTTTATCGTTCATGAACACCTCTGATTTTTGCCCAAGGAGTACTGGAATCATACAGAAATAATGAAATAGAAAATACCGCACATCATCCGATGCAAAGAATGACCTGGAAGACCTGGCTAGTACGTAGATGCTGATGAAGGAAGTTTGTCGTTCTTCCAAAAAATTTGTTCCCTAGAGTCACACACTCACTCCCTCAGTGGTGTCACCAGGCTGCTCACCCTTTCCTGCACGGCAGTCCTTTCCAGCGAAGCTTCGGTTCCACTGATTAGCTGGTGCACATGGCAGCCAAAGCTCTTGCAATCTTTCTATGCTCCTGGCTTTGCATCCCGCTCTCCAAGGTGGCCATCCTCTCTAAACCTAATGCCATAATGACATGCCTGCAAACACTTCAAATTTGAATATTTTGCACTGTTAAGGGTGAATGATGTTTTAATAAATTGACATACTACACTATTGTCACGATATGAAATCAGGTTCAGAGACCAGTTGCTACAGCAGTTGCAAGGCTTACCTGAAACCAGCAGGATTGGTGCACCAGCGGCCCACCCTGGGAATGACGTAGGCTCACCTGAGGTGCGGGGTCTAAGCATCCACCGGTCTTCCCAGAGCTCCTAATGGTGGAGATGGATTTGGCTGCGTGTGAATGCCAGGTCGCAGATCTCAGGATCACCCCACCAGGGAATGAGTAGGCTGAAAACCAAAAGCGGATCAAACAGTTCAGGGATCAAACAGAAGCGGAGTCAGTCACAAGCCAAGGATCGGTCACCAATGGTAGTAGATAGAATGAGGCAGAATCGTAGTCAGTAGCAAGCCAAAGGTCAGTAACGTAGATGAAGACAGCAGCAGGAACAGTAAGCGGGATATTGGCTGGTAAGGCACAATAATCTGGCAAGGAGGAAGTGCATGGACATGGCTTTTATAAGGAAGTTCATGGGAGGAGCAAGGAGTTCAAGGTTCAAGAGAAATGAAGGCACAAGGCAGGATTATCCAAGAATTGTCAAGGGAGCTGTCCAACATTCCAGATAGCTCAGTGAGAAGAGATATTGCCTCCCACCACAGAAGGACCAGGTTCAATCCCAGGCTCTGACAACTATATTGGTTCCTTGGGCACCTCTCTTCCCGTTAGTACAATTCTCAGTCACATCATGATATGCAACTTTGTAAAAAAATTGGATGATTGTTTGTCCAATTTTTTTTGTGTATTTTTTTTTCATCATCTAGGCCAGGGTTTCTCAACCAGGATTCCGTGGAAGCCTAGGGTTCCTCGAGCAATTTTTGCATCTCCGATAAGTTCCCACTGACACAACTGATATTTTTAGCCATCTGTAAGGGGGTAATTCTTCCCAATGACCACAAGTGTAAGGAGCATTCTTACCTCTATCACACTAATATATCATGAATTGTAGATAGTCATTTTTAGCAGGGGTTCCCTGAGACCGGAAAGATATGTCAAGGGTTCCTTCGCGTTGAAAAGGTTGAGGGGCTGATCTAGGCTTTATCCTCAGGGAAAGATCTGAGGAAGGAGTTTGTGGACTGTCATCTGGACTATAAATCTGTGTCTGCACAGCGCTAATTAATGCTGTGCCGATCAAAAGACACAAATTGTTTTCAGAATAGAAAATCGAAATGAATAATAGCTGCAAAGTGTGTTAAAGCCTCATACAAATCTGTATTTCAAAGAAAATGTTTACTATTTTTTAGGAGGTGGAGTTTAGCTTGACTGATGATATCTTTCACTTTGTTCACAATGTAAAGAGGAAGGCATGGAGCTGGAGGCAAATCTTAAGTGAGAGACCGACATGAATAGGTTTGCTGTAGGCTGAGACAATGGAAGGTTAAGATGGCAATTTTGCTTAACGTTTCAGGGACTTACCTGATTGGAGACAGAAGAGGTGGGAGCAGGGTGGAATCAAAGCTGGAGATAGAAGGGGTGGTGACCTTGCCTCATGGTCAGTTGGAGCAGTGACTGGACAGTGATGGATGAGCTTTTCCCACCCTCGCTCCCTCCCTACATTTTGCAAAAGTTGGACTTCCTGTTCTTCTTTCCATATATAATTTTTATTATTTAGTATCATGCTTTATGTTGTCCCGTGTTGACCTTAGTGTGACTCGGATTTCGTTCTGAGTGTCCCAACTTCTTTTTGCTGCTGACATTGTTATAGGGGTCGCAGGGACTTCGAAGGCGGTAGATGGTTGGTACATTTGGACAATAATGGGCGGGGCCCATTGCAGGTATAGGTGTACCTTCCCTAGTTCAGTTAAGGCATTAAGGTACAAATGGTTAGATTGATAGTTAAATTGTCCTCGAGCCAGCGTAGTAGCAGCTGAGGGCCTTTATGTGGAACTGTGGCAGATACAGCCGATTGGTAAAATAAAGGTACCTTCCAAGACCCTAGACCAGAAAAGTAGGTCAGTCTTTGTTAGGATGGTTGTAATGATTTTTATAATGAAAATGTTTTGATAAAAGGTTGTGTGATGTATGTGGGTTTTTTTTTTTTTTTTTTTTTTGTTATCATTGAATAAATGTCTGCTATGGCCTTTCAACCCCAAACTAATGTTTCAGTTGATTGTTTTTAAGTAAGGGGGAATTTGATTCGGTGGAGTGCGTAGTAAAGGTCACACAGCCGCAATATATAGCAATACCTTAGTCAAGAGATCTGGAGAAGGTTCTGCCAATCACAGGCTCTGTCAAGCCCCTCCAGCTAGTGTCTATGGTGTGTATGCGCTGGAACTAACAGTGAGGTCTTATATCTCACCCAGGGGCGGACTCACAACTCATGGGGTCCCTGGGCAATAGGCCCCTGTGTCCTCACCCACATTCAAACCACACCCAAACAAGCCTATGAAAGGTACCAGGGACATCTCATGGGGCCCCCTACTGACCCCATGCCCTTGGGCAGTGCCCGAGAGCCTGAATGGTAAGTCTGTCCCTGATCTCACCCATAGTGTTTAGCACCAGGAGGACATAGAGGAGGAGGGAGAGGACAGTCTTTTACCACTGTGTATACACCCACATATGTGACTCTATAGTCACGTTGGCTGCTCAGATATAAAAAGAAAAAGGAGGAAATCCATGAGCTTAACAAGGAATTGAAACTGAAGCATGCTCAGTATTTGCCGCAATGGCTGGTCTACATGACCTCAGGCTGCAGCAGGGACACAGACACGGAGGGAGGGACAGTGAACAACAGGATCAAGCAGGTGTTTTGCAACCTAAAGACAACAAATGGCCTAGTGACTGAGTGATTACTGTATGCATATAATATAGCATCTATTAACAGTTTATAATGATTTAGTTTTAATTACACTTTAATACAAAATATATATTACATTTATTTTGACATTTGTAAAGTAGAAAAAGGCAAAACATTTAAGAGAGTTATTGCCACCTTTGTCATATTGGATAGATTTCCCTTCATTTTCTGCCCCATAGCCAGGGAGTGAAAATTGCTCCAAAATGGGGGAAATCCTGGTTGTTGAAAGAATTCCTTTCTACGCTGCTCAAAAAACTGAAAGGAACACTTTGAAAACACATCAGATCTCAATGGGGAAAAATCTCTTGCTGGATCTCTCTATACTGATAGGGACAGGGTAATGTGTTAGGAACGTAAGGATGCCCCATTGTTTGATGAAAATGATTGACCTACAGAGCACTGAATTCCAAGACACCCCGAAAATCAAAGTGAAGAAATGATGCAGCAGGCGAGTCTATTTTGCTGAAATGTCATTGCAGCAACTCAGAATGGTCCTCAGTAGTTTGTATGGCCCCCACGTGCTTGTATGCATGCCTGACAACGTCGGGGCATGCTCCTAATGAAACAACGGATGGTGACCTGGGGTATGTCCTCCCAGATCTGGACCAGGGCATCACTAAGCTCCTGGACAGTCTGAGGTGCAACCTGGTGGTGTCGGATGGACTGAAATATGATATCCCAGAGATGTTCTATTGGATTTAGGTCAGGCAAGCATGGGGGCCATTCAATGGTATCAATTCCTTCATCCTCCAGGAACTGTCTACATGCTCTCACCACATGAAACCAGACATGGTCGTGCACCAGGAGGAACTCGGGACCCACTGCACCAGTGTAGAATCTGACAACGGGTCCAAGGATTTCATCCTGATACCAAATGGCAGTCAGGGTGCCATTGTCTAGCCTGTAGAGCTCTCTGTGTCCCTCCATGGATATGCCTTCCCAGACCATCATTGACCCACCACCAAAACGGTCATGCTGAATGATGTTACAGGCAGCAGAATGTTCTCTTACACTGTTCATAGTGTGAACCGAGCCTTAGACATAATTACATTTGGACCACTCACTACTTAGAAAACTTCAAGGATGCAGCAACTTCTAAAGCTTATAATGGAGGAAGGGGTTGACGGCTTTCTCAGATGGTGAATGCTCATTAGCTAACTTTGCATTATAAAACTTCAGGCACAGATAGATCCAAATACAAAAGAGAACTGGAAAAAAAAGGCGCTGTGGAAAATGCTCTCATACAAGCACCTTAGTGAAGGTGCATCTTTATTGGGTGAGACAAAGTAGCAAATATAATAAAATTGACCAGCCTGAAGTGGACAGTGTGACTCCAATGGATGGCCCGTCCGCTCTGAGGGGAGCTGAGATCAGAGAATGCTCCTGTCAGCTTCAAATCACGTGGTGTCAGCGTACCGGCGTCCTGGGTGGTGTCACCATGACAAGCGAAGGCAGTGTCTGGCGTTGGCTTCAGCTGGGAGCATATGTAGGGTTACCAAGACAACATGTTTTGCTCAGTTGCGCTTTGTCAAGTCTGCGTTTTCCAAATACAAAAGGCAGACTCAGGTACTTTGCTGGAAACATTTTTATTGATTTGATTTCTTATTACAAAATATAGTATAATGTGAGTAAATACAACATACAGTATTCACTGCATATTTATTTCTTTTATATATCATGCAAAAATCAGTCATATTTACAATAATTTACAATAATTGTTTATAAAATATTGCATTTAACTAAAGCTTGAACAAAAAATTTTAATGGAATTCAAAAACAGGCATCTAACTTTCTGTTTTAGATCAGGGTTTATCAACTTTTCCACCTTGGAGGATCCCTTGGCAAAAAGTTTAAGATCTTAGAAAACCCTTGAAATAATGCTTACATCTCATGGAACATTGATACAGCCCACGGAACTGCTGATATAACAACAATTATTTTTTGAAAGATCATTCAATAATAGAAACAATATTAAAATGTACCCAATTACAGTAATTTGCAACTTGTGCACATTACGTGGGAGCAGGGCACATTACGTGGAAGCAGGGCACATTACGTGGGAGCAGGGCACATTACGTGGGAGCAGGGCACATTACGTGGGAGCAGGACACATTACATAGTTTGTAAGGTTGAATAAAGACAACAGTCCTTAACCTATATGGGTATCTTACATGGGAGCAGGGCACCTTATGTGGGAGCAGGGTACACTACTTGGGAGCAGGTAACATTATGTGGGAGCAGGGCACGCTACTTGGGAACAGGGCACATTACTTGGGAGCAGGGCACATTACTTGGGAGCAGGGCACATTACTTGGGAACAGGGCACATTACTTGGGAACAGGGCACGCTACTTGGGAACAGGGCACACTTATGTTATGTGGGAGCAGGGCACACTACTTGGGAGCAGGGCACACTACTTGGGAGCAGGGCACACTACTTGGGAGCAGGGCACATTATGTGGGAACAGGGCACACTACTTTGGGGCAGGTAACATTATGAGGGAGCAGGGCACACTACTTGGGAGCAGGGCACACTACTTGGGAGCAGGGCACACTACTTGGGAGCAGGGCACGTTACTTGGGAGCAGGGCACGTTACTTGGGAGAAGGGCACGTTACTTCGGAGCAGGGCACACTACTTGGGAGCAGGGCACACTACTTCGGAGCAGGGCACACTACTTGGGAGCAGGGCACACTACTTGGGAACAGGGCACACTACTTGGGAGCAGGGCACACTACTTGGGAGCAGGGCACACTATGTGGGAGCAGGGCACGTTACTGGGGAGCAGGGCGCACTACTTGGGAGCAGGGCACACTACTGGGGAGCAGGGCACACTACTGGGGAGCAGGTAACATTATGAGGGAGCAGGGCACACTACTTGGGAGCAGGGCACACTACTTGGGAGCAGGTCACACTACTTGGGAGCAGGGCACGTTACTTGGGAGCAGGTCACACTACTTGGGAGCAGGGCACATTACTTGGGAGCAGGGCACACTACTGTGGAGCAGGTAACATTATGTGGGAGCAGGGCACACTACTTGGGAGCAGGTAACATTATGAGGGAGCAGGGCACACTACTGGGGAGCAGGTAACATTATGTGGGAGCAGGGCACACTACTTGGGAGCAGGTAACATTATGAGGGAGCAGGACACACTACTTGGGAGCAGGTAACATTATGTGGGAGCAGGGCACGCTACTTGGGAACAGGGCACATTACTTGGGAGCAGGGCACATTACTTGGGAGCAGGGCACATTACTTGGGAACAGGGCACGCTACTTGGGAACAGGGCACGGTACTTGGGAACAGGGCACATTATGTGGGAGCAGGGCACACTACTTGGGAGCAGGGCACACTACTTGGGAGCAAGGCACACTACTTGGGAGCAGGGCACATTATGTGGGAGCAGGGCACACTACTTTGGGGCAGGTAACATTATGAGGGAGCAGGGCACACTACTTGGGAGCAGGGCACACTACTTGGGAGCAGGGCACACTACTTGGGAGCAGGGCACGTTACTTGGGAGCAGGGCACGTTACTTGGGAGAAAGGCACGTTACTTCGGAGCAGGGCACACTACTTGGGAGCAGGGCACACTACTTGGGAGCAGGGCACACTACTTGGGAACAGGGCACACTACTTGGGAGCAGGGCACACTACTTGGGAGCAGGGCACACTACTTGGGAGCAGGTAACATTATGTGGGAGCAGGGCACGTTACTTGGGAGCAGGGCGCACTACTTGGGAGCAGGGCACACTACTGGGGAGCAGGGCACACTACTGGGGAGCAGGTAACATTATGAGGGAGCAGGGCACACTACTTGGGAGCAGGGCACACTACTTGGGAGCAGGTCACACTACTTGGGAGCAGGGCACGTTACTTGGGAGCAGGTCACACTACTTGGGAGCAGGGCACATTACTTGGGAGCAGGGCACACTACTGGGAGCAGGTAACATTATGTGGGAGCAGGGCACACTACTTGGGAGCAGGTAACATTATGAGGGAGCAGGGCACACTACTGGGGAGCAGGTAACATTATGTGGGAGCAGGGCACACTACTTGGGAGCAGGTAACATTATGAGGGAGCAGGGCACACTACTTGGGAGCAGGTAACATTATGAGGGAGCAGGGCACACTACTTGGGAGCAGGGCACACTACTTGGGAGCAGGGCACACTACTTGGGAGCAGGTAACATTATGTGCGAGCAGGGCACACTACTTGGGAGCAGGGCACACTACTTGGGAGCAGGGCACATTACAGGGAACAGGACACATTACTTGGAAGCAAGACACATTACATGAGAGTAGGGCACATTACTTGGGAGCAAAGCACACTATGTGGGAGCAAGACACATTACATGAGAGTAGGGCACATTACTTGGCAGCAAAGCACACTATGTGGGAGTAGGGCACATTACTTGGGAGCAGGGCACATTACTTGGGAGTAGGGCACATTACTTAGGAGCAAAGCACACTACGTGGGAGCAAGACACATTACATGAGAGTAGGGCACATTACTTGGCAGCAAAGCACACTATGTGGGAGTAGGGCACATTACTTGGGAGCAGGGCACATTACTTGGGAGCAGGGCACATTATGTGGGAGCAAAGGCACACTACATAGTTTGTAAGGTTGAATAAAGACAACAGTCCTTAACATATATGGGTATCTTACATGGGAGTAGGGCACCTTATGTGAGAGCAGGGTACACTACTTGGGAGCAGGTAACATTATGTGGGAGCAGGGCACACTACTTGGGAGCAGGGCACACTACTTAGTT